GCCCAGGCTGGTCTCGAACCCATGAGCTCAGGCAATCCTCTTACCTCAGCCTCCCAAAGTACTGGGATTATAGGCGTGAGCCACCATGCCCGGCTTTTTTATTTCTTTTGTAGAGACCAGTTCTTGCTATGTTGCCCAGGCTGGTCTTGAACTTCTGGACTCAAGTGATCCTCCCACCTCCCAAAATGCTTGGATTATAGGTGTGAGCCACTGTGCCCCAAGTGGCAAACTTTTTCTGTAATAGGCCACTTAGTAAATAATTTAGTCTTTATGGACCACCTTCAGTCTCTGTCACATATTCTTTTTTTTGAGTCTCACTCTGTCCCCCAGGTTGGAGTGCAGTGGCATGCTCACAGTCACCGCAGCCTCGACCTGCTGAACTCAGGAGAGGAGAGCCTTCCACCTCAGCCTTCCAAGTAGCTGGAACTACAGGTGTGTGCCACCACCACACCCAGCTAATTTTTTGATTTATTGTAGAGACGAGGTCTTGCCAAGTTGCCCGGGCTGGTCTTGAACCCCTGGACTCAGGCAATTCTCTTGCCTCGACCTCCCAAAGTGCTGAGATTACAGGCTTGAGCTACCGCACCCAGCTTCTTTTTTTTTTTTTTTAATATAATCTTTTATGGAAGCACAAACTATTCTTAGCTCATGGGCCACACAAAAATAGGCCACAGACCAGACCTGGCCTAGGGGTCACAGTTTGTCAGCCTCTGCTGTACTTCGATGGAACATGTCCATGCACCTCTACTATGTCCTGTGCTTACAAAGGAACTAGGGGCCAGGCTCGGTGGCTCAGCCTGTAATCCCGCACTTTGGGAGGCCAAGGTGAGTGAATCGCCTGAGCTCGCTGGTTCGAGACCTGCCTGGGCAACTTGGTGAGACCTCATCTCTACAATAAAATAAATTTTTAAAAAATTAGCTGGGCGTGATAGCGCGCACCTGTAGTTCCAGCTACTTGGAAGACTGAGGCAGAAGGATCGCTGGAGCCCAGCAGGGCGAGGCTGCGATGGCCAGGAGCGTGCCACTGTACTCCAGTCTGGGTGACAGAGTGAGACTCCAACTCAAAGAAAAAAAACAAAGGAACCATGGGAAGGACAAAGGAGCACAGGCCCAAGTCTACCCAGGAGGCTCTTACTATTCCACAGCTGAAGATGTCCACCCGCTTTGTCAGCTGCCCCACCCTGATGAAATCTTCCGGCAAGTATGCGGCTGAGGCCTGGAAGAGGTGGGTCTTCATCATAGTGTATTTTGACCTTTTGTTGAGAGGATACAGGTGAGCCATCGGGTGAGCCAGCTTGGGGGTGAGATCTTGGTCCAGCAAAACATTTGAGCTGTGGAGAAGAAAGCAGAGAGAACCTTCTCATTTTGAGCTGGATAGTAAGAGCTACCATGAAGATCCTTTGGAAAAACAACTCAGCAGTGAGCAGTGTAAACCCCTGTGAGTTAGGGTCACTGAAGACCCTCACCATGAAGTTTCTTTTTTTTCCTTTTTTTGACTAGAAAATATAGTTTATTTAGAAAATAAATTAGATAAAGAGAGAGAATGAGAGAGAGAGAGAGAGGATTCACCTCTCCAAGATAGAGAGTGGGCCAGAGCTTAGGAAACATGGCCACATCAGAGTCTAGTAAAGCAATGGCCCCACCATGGAGTTTCTAAGCCAGCCCAGAACTGGAAAGAGAGAGTATTGGGAGTCCACTCCCTCCAGCATATGACGAGGGAGTTAAGAACTAGTCTTGCTGCCCCAGGAATGCAGCCAGGGGCACAGCATCCCCAATCTCCACAGGTGTCACCCTGATCAGCCTCAGCTTGTCTACCTCATAGGACGTGCTGACTCGGTCCTTTTCAAAATTGTTCCAGCCCCAGCTCTGGCTTGGCTGACTCAAGTCTGAACGCCAGCATCCTCTGTGACTAAACCTGCCCAGATAGTGGGAAGTAACAACAGCAATCAAAATATCCTTTAACCTAGTCGTCTAACCCATGGGAGTTGACTCTAAGAAAATGCTCCAAAGGAGGAAAAAAGTCAAATTACAAAAACACTCAGCAGAACAAACCCCAAGAAACAGTTTGTTAAGAAGCAGACACGAACTCCAATATTCACTATTAAGAATGGCTAAGCAAATTATGGGTGACTCCCATAATGAAAGAGTAAGAAGTCACTAGAGGTCGGACTCGGTGGCTCAGCCTGTAATCCCAGCACTTTGGGAGGCCGAGGCAAGTGGATTGCCTCAGCCCGTAGGTTCAAGACCCGCCTGGGCAACTTGGCAAGACCTTGTCTCTACAACAAATCAAAAATTAGCCAGGTGTGGTAGTGCACACCTGTAGTTCCAGGTACTTGAAAGGCTGAGGTGGAAGGATTGCGGGAGCCCAGCAGGTCGAGGTTGAGGTGGCCGGGAGCGTGCCACTGCACTCCAGTCTGGGCGACAGAGTGAGACTCCAACTCAAAAATAAAAAGAAGTCACTAAAAAACATGACGGTGGGTGTCCAATGTGGGAAAATGTTCTCCAGGTTTAAATGAAGGGGGATAAAACCCAGAATATGAGTTGGTAACCAGGTAACCATACTACCCTAGGGGTAAGGATTTATGTGGGCAGAACTGAAAAAAGAAACAAAAAACAGAAGCCAGCTGACAAGTTGGTGAGGGCTTCTACCCTTACATTTCCTTGCTTGCTATTATAATTGCTGGTACAATCAAATAAGAATCAGAGAAGAGGAAAGAGGAAAGAGGTTCCACATGGCAAATAGAGAGAGAACTCTGGGGAAATATGAGTCCTATGGCTGTGGGGCCAGTTCTGCCAGATCTTCTGGTCTTTTCTGAATCTCTCCCCATGCTACTAGTCCCCAGCCAGGGACTTCTCCCTCTTGTAAGCATGGCATTGAGATGCTGGGGTGCAGCCTATCCTGTAGGAAGTCTCACTGATAAGCCCCTCGCACCAATAGGTAGGTACACAAGCAGGGCCAGGTCTCCAAGAAAACCGACAGAAGCAGCTTCAAATCCCAGCGGGTTGGCAGTTGTGGACCCAAGCTCAAGGACAAGGTCCTGCTAGCTACTGAATACACCATGAAATGTACCTGGGTGTGCAGGCTTGTTGGGAAACAACAGCTCAAAAACACACGTGGTGACAGGTGGGCAATTCTTGCTGAGAGCCATGGGAGACAGAGCACCACCCAGAAACATTGATTTCTGAGGGCATAACAAAGAAAAAGAAGATACCCAAGGGAGAGGAGCTAGAGAGAGAAAAACAAAGAGAACAGAGAGAGGAAGGTGACCCAGGAGCAGGCCTCATCCTTGCCGCCCAGGCCTGCGGCCGGGCCCAGACAGCTCTCACCTCTTGATGTTGCCATGGATAATCTCCAGGCTGTGCAGGTGCTTGACGGCATGAAGCAGCCCTGAGCAGATGCTCACGCGCTGCGGCCAGGGGAGGGGGTCAGAGCCACCCTAAGAGAAAGAAAAGGAGGAAGGGAAATAGTCACGTTGTGCCTTTTTAAAGTCCTGCTGGCAGGATCTTGGGCTCCAGTGTCTCCCTCCACCCTTCATGTTCTCTGCAGGAGGGCTCAGTCAGCATGATTTCCTGACATCGTATTATGGGGTTTGTTGTTGTTGTTTGTTTTGAATCGAAGTCTCACTCTATCACCCAGGCTGGAGCAGGTTGAGGCGGCAGTGACTGTGAGCATGCCACTGCACTCCAGCCTGGGAGACATAGTGAAACTCCAACTCAAAAAAAAAAGAAGAAAAACGGAGGAAAGCTTTAGCGATGGCAAAGCCTGAAGAAGACAAGAGTGTGAAACCCTTATCACAGTAACTTGCACACAGTGAGAGCTCAGAAAAGCTAACAATCATAAGTATACTGTGAATAACTGCTTTGTCTGGTCCTTGTCAAGGAAAGCAATAATTCTGTTATGAAATAACTCTTTACCCTATTTGAGGAGTTTATAAGCAGGAAGTCTTTTTTTTTAGAGTTGGAGTCTCACTGTGTTGCCCAGGCTGGAGTGCAGTGACACATTCACAGCCACTGCAGCCTTGACCTGCTGGGCCCAGGTGATCCTTCTGCCTCAGCCTTCCAAGTAGCTGGAACCACAGGCATGTGTCACCATACCTGGCTAATTTTTTTATTTATTGTAGAGAAAAGGTCTCATTATGTTGCTCAGGCTGGTATCGAACCCCTGAGCTCAGGCAATCCTCTTGCCTCTGCCTCCCAAAGTGCTGGGATTAAAGACTTGAGCCACCATGCTCAGCTTTGGAAGCCTATTTTTAAAACTGTAATTTTCGCCTGGGCACAGTGGTTCACACCTGTAATCCCAATACTTTGGGAGGCAGAGGCAAGAGAATTGCCTGAGCCCAGGGGTTTAAGACCAGCCTAGGAAAAGTGGCAGGATCTCGTCTTTATAATAAATTTAAAAATTGGTCAGACATAGTGGCACAGGCCCATAGTTCCAGCTACTTGGAAGACTGAGGTAGAAGGATCACCTGAACCTAGCAGGTCGAGGCTGTGGTAGCCGTAACCATGCCACTGCACTCTAGCATGGGCAATACAGTGAGACTCCAACTAAAAAAAAAATTGCAATTTGTAATAGGTTTTACATTACTGATATAATATTCTAAAGGCACAAAGGGCATATAGTAAAAGTTTCCCTTCTATCCTGTACCCCAACTACCTAGTTCTTCTTCCCAGAGGCAGCCAGAGCACCAGTTTCTTGTGTATCTTTCCAGAGATATTCCATAAGTACACAAGCAAATGGGCATATATTGAAATGACATTTTTTTTTTTTGAGTTGGAGTCTCACTCTGTTGCCCAGACTGGAGTGCAGTGGCCACTCCCAGCCGCTGCAGCCTCAGCCTGCTGGGCTCTGGCGATCCTTCTGCCTCAGCCTTCCAAGTAGCCAGAATTACAGGTGCACGCTACCACGTCCGGTTGATTTTTTTATTTTATTGTAGAGATGAGGTCTTGTCTGCCCAGACGGGTCTCGAACCCGCGGGCTCAGGCAATCCACTCACCTCAGCCTCCCAAAGGCGTGGGATTACAGGCTGAGCCACCGAGCCCGGCTTTGAAATGACATTTTATGATGAAAATTCGCTTCTGCTTTTCCATAATCTTTACCTCTGAATTCTTTTTCTTCTCCTACTGCATCAGATAACACCTCCAGAACAATGATGAACAAAAAATAAGTACTGTGGGATGCTTCTGTCTTGCTCTTGACTTGAATGATATGCTTCTTGTCAACTAATTTTTTATAGGTTTTTCCAGATTGCATCTATCCTGGCCCAACTTCTCTCCTTGAAGCCCTCCCTGTCTCACTAGATGGCTTCTCTCCTCTGGACTCCTATAAGTCTTTAAAACCCTTGATTTCCTAACTGGGTGCTGCCTGGTCCTATTCTCTGACCATGACCCACTCCCTTACCTGAACCTGGAGTCTGTCCTGTAAAGAACCATTTGCCATGTAGGGGTAGATCAAGCTGTGAAACTGTCTTCCGGCACAGAAACCCAGCACTGGTAAGACATTGGGGTGACAGCATCTGAAATCAGGTATCAACACAGGGGTAAGTAAGAAGTCAGACAGTAAAGAACGATAGAACACTGATCTACTTCCTCACCTCCCACCACTCCTCTGCCCTCTCTAGCCCCAAGGCCACCAGTCTCCTCCTAAGTACCACTCTGATCCCTAAGGGTCCGGGCACCAGGGTAGAAAGATGAAAATCGGCTAGGTATGATGGCTCATGCCTATAATCCCAGCACTTTGGGAGGCAGAGGTGAGAGGATTGCCTGAGTCCATGGGTTCGAGACCAGTCTGGGCAATTTGGCGAAACCTCGTCTCTACAGTCAATCAAAAAATTAGCTGGGCATGGTGGCACATGCCTGTGGTTCTAGCTACTTGGAAGGCTGAGGTAGAGGGATCGCCTGAGTCTAATAGGTCAAGGTTGCGGTGACATGGCCATGAGCATGCCACTGCACTCCAGCCTGGGTGACAGTAAGACTGCTACTCAAAATAAAATAAAATATTTTTTAAAAAGAAAGAAAGAAAACCGCCTGCCTTCCAGAAACTTGAAGTCTAGTGCTCCTTACCTGCTTTACTGCTCGCAGCACATGACACCTCAACCAGCCCAACTCCAGAAACAGAGGCTTAGGGGTTAAGGAACTTAGCCTCACCCCAAGTTTGTGACTTATGCCCAAAGTCAGAAGCTAGCAAGCTGTGAAGCCAGGACCAGATCCCAGGTCTGTTTGACTCCAGGACTGGGGCTCATCCCCAAAATCCTCTTCCACTGAATTCCGAGTCAACATTCCCTCCAGTTCTCCTCCTATGCCTCTGACTCCTCTTTCTTGGCCTTTTTCACTAAGCTCCCCCTCCTTGCCTTCCCCCTCTATGCCAGCTGGGTTTCTCAACTTGTTTCAAATGCTGACCCTCCAGGTCCCTCCCACTGTAATGAGGAACACTCCCAGACCTCTCATCTCCAGCCCCATCCGAAATACCACACCTTAATGTCTAAAGGCATCCCCATGCTCAGGTGAACAACATCCAGATGCAACAAGTCCTAAACCTGCTTCTCCACCTATATTATTATCTGTCAAAAGGCACCACCCAGTTTCCCATAAGCTTCCTTACCTCCTGTACCTAATTAGTCACCATTCACTGCCATAGAGAGCTTTCAAAATGTCTCCTACATTCTACTCTCCTCTGCCTTAAGTCAGACTGATCCAATCTCTGCAGGACTACTGTAAATGACCTCCTGCCTGATATTTCTGCCCGCATCCCCCCCCCAGTTTTTTTAGAGTTGGGGTCTTGCTCTATTGCCCAGGCTGGAGTGCAATGGCATGATCATAGCTCACTGAAGCCTCAAACTCCTGCACTCAAGCAATCTTCCCACTTGAGCTTCCCAAGTGAGTAGCTAGGACTACAGGCGCACACCACCACATCCAGCTAATTTTTCAAATTTTTTATAGAGATGGGGAGTCTCACTATGTTGCCCAGGTTTGTCTTGAGCTCCTGGCCTCAAGTGATCCTCCCGCTTCAGCTTCCCAAAGTGATGAGATTACAGGCATGAGCACTGCACCTGGCCTCAACCATTTAAAAATGTAAAAACTGTTCTTAGTGCTCAGGTTGCACAAACTCAGGCTGACCAAAACGAGCCTGTGGGTCCTCATTTGCTAAGCCTTGCTCTAGAGGGCTATGATTTTAAGACAGATTCACCCTTAATGTTGGAATCAGTAAGTCTCTGTCTCTCTCAAAAATTGGGATCAAAACACATTTCTTCCCCTATAGAAGGAAGGAGGTGGAGTGAGCCAAGCTTCCTTTATAATTCCAGTCTATGCAAAGAATTGCTATGTAGAGAAAGCATGGATTCTGGAGCCAGACCATACAGGTCCAAATTCCAGCTCTGCCACTTACTAGCTGTGTGACCCTGGATGAAGACACTTAACCTCTCTGCCTCAATTACCCATCTGTAAAACTCTGTGATGATAGTAATTACATTATAGAGTTCTTGTGAGGAGATGACTTTGTATATAATAACATGCCTGGCACCTGGGAAGCACTATACAAGCATTCCCTATTATTATTATTATTATTTTATTTTTTTTATTTTTTTTAAGCTGGAGTCTCACTCTGTCGCCCAGGCTGGAGTACACTGGCATGCTCAGGGCCACCACAGCTTCGACCTGTTGGGCTCAGGTGATCCTTCTGCCTCAGCCTTCCAAGTAGCTGGAACTACAGGCACACCACCATGCCCAGCTAATTTTTTGATTTATTGTAGAGATGAGGTCTCATTAAGTTGCCTGAGCTGGTCTCGAACCCATGGGTTCAGGCAATCCTCTCATCTTGGCCTCCCAAAGTGCTGGGATTATAAGTATGAGCCACATTATTATTAAACCAAGTATTGTCCAAAGGGGAGGCTTACCTGAGACAAATTTGTATCTCAGCCTGGAAGAATCTTTCGACTGATCCTGGACTTGAGTAGGCTGTCTGTGGAGAAAGACATGGGAATGTGAAGATCCAGCCTCACCTGTGCAGCCTCCACCCTCACTAGAAACCACGAAGTGCTTGCCTCTCTCAGCTTCTTGAACACAATCAGCTTCCCATGCCTTTGTCCTCTGTAGACGTCAGCAAAGACTCCCTCGCTGATTTTGTAGTTTTGATTGAAGTCATCGGTTGCCTGGACCACGTCCACCTCACTCCAGAAAAGGCTGTCGCCTGCCAAGCTCAAAAGTTTCTCCTGCTTAGGAATGGAGGTGCTAAAATCCTAGGAATTCAGAGGAGAGAGAGGAGATTACTACAAAAGCTCATTTTCCCTGCCACCTCGGGGGACCTTGGAACCCCAGAACTGACAGGGTGGAGGGGATTGTCTTATTCAGTGGGGGAGTTATAAAAATGGCATGGATAGGCCCAAGCTCAAATCCCAGCTGTGCCTCTAACTTGTGCTGTGAACTTGGTGCTACTTAACTTCTCTGAGCCTCAATTTCCTCATCAGCAAAAATGAAGGTAATAATACTATGCTGGAGGGTAATTTTGAAGATTAATTAAGATGTATTTCTGGCATGCAGTTGGTGTTTTGTTTTTTTTTTCAGTTTGTAGAGGTAAGCACTAAGGGGTTAAAAGAGCTGAAGTGAAATCACACCGCTGATCAATGGCTAAATCGGTGCCCTTGGTCTGACACACTATATATGCTGGGCCTCCGGATTCCTGGGAAGTAGGCTACAGGTTCATATAACCAAACAGGCTTCAGAGCTTGTAAACAGAGCTTCAGAGTCCAGCCTGGGCAACTTGGTGTGACCTCATCTCCACAATAAATCAAAAAATTAAGCTGGGCTCATTGGCTCAGCCTGTAATCCCGCGCCTTTGGGAGGCTGAGGTGAGTGGATTGCCTGAACCTGAGGGTTCGAAACCCGCCTGGGCAGGCGAGACCTCATCTCTACGATAAATCAAAAAATTAGCTGGGCGTGGTAGCGCTCGCCTGTAGTTCCAGCTACTTGGAAGGCTGAGGTGGAAGGATCACCGGAGCCCAGCAGGTCAAGGCTGCGGTGGCCGGGAGTGGCCACTGCACTCCAGTCTGGGTGACAGAGTAAGACTCCAACCCAGAAAAAATAATTAGCCAGGCATGGTGGCACGTGCCTGTAGTTCCAGTTACTTGGAAGGCTGAGGTGGAAGGATCGTCGGAGACCAGCAGGTTGAGGATACAGTGGCTGGGAGTGTGCCACTGCCTTCCAGCCTGAGTGACAGAGTAAGACTCCAACTCAAAAGAAAAAAAAAAAGAAAACTGGGGGTAGGAGAGGATCACTCATAATCCCAATATCCACTTAAATGCTATGAAATGTAGTGTATTTCCTGACAATTAGATATAATAGTTTTGATTTCTGGTGTGTTTTCACTTAACAGTCTATAATGATCATTCTCCCAAGTTATTAAATCATCTTTGAAAATCATTAATTATTCAAAACAAGGCCAGGTGCAGTAGTTCATGCCTGTAATCCCAGCACTTTGAGAGGCCGAAGTGGGAGGATTGCTTGAGACCAGGAGTTCGAAACCAGGCTGGTCAAAATAACAAGACCTCAACTCTACAAAAAAAACAGAAAATTAGTCAGATGTGGTGTCACACACCTATAGGCCCATGAAATTTTTTTTTTTTTTTTTTTGCATTGAAGTCTCACTCTGTCACCCAGGCTGGGGTGCATTCACACACTCACGGCTACCGCAGCCTCAACCATCTGGGCTCAGGTAATCCTATCGTCTCAGCCTTCCAAGTAGCTGGAACTACAGGCACATGCCATCATGCCTGGCTAACTTTGTGATTTATTGTAGAGATGAGGTCTTTCCAAGTTGTCCAGGCTGGTCTACCATGGGTTCAGGCAATCCTCTCACCTCGCCCTCCGAAAGTGCTGGTATTATAGGTGTCAGTCAGCACCTGGCTTATTTTCTACTGATTTTTAAATAAATGAAAATGTTTTCATGGCTCCTGAAGGTGTTGGGAGCCAAAGATACTTTGTGTCCAGCGTCTAGGGGAGAAGCCAGCTTTGCATGGGTGTGGTAAATGAAACTCTTCTATGTGCCAAGCATTTTGGCTCATGCCTGGAGTCCCAGCTACTTGGGAAGCTGAGACAAGAGGATCACTTAAGACCAGGAGTTGGAGGCTGCAGTGAGCTATGATTGTAACATTGCACTCCAGCGTGGATGATAGAGCAAGACTTGGTCTCTTTAAAAAACTATAAATAGCCGGGCTCGGTGGCTCAGCCTGTAATCCTGCACCTTTGGGAGACTGAGGTGAGTGGATTGCCTGAGTCCGCAGGTTCGAGACCCGCCTGGGCAGCGAGACCTCATCTCTACAATAAATAAAAAAATCAGCCGGGCGTGGTGGCGCATGCCTGTAATTCCGGCTACTTGGAAGGCTGAGGCGGAAGGATCACCGGAGCCCAGCAGGTCGAGGCTGTGGTGGCCAAGAGCGGCCACTGCACTCCAGTCTGGGCGACAGAGTGAAACTCCAACTCAAAACAAAACAAAACAAAACAAACTATAAATAGGTTGGGCACAGTGGCTTATGCCTGTAATCCCAGCACTTCGGGAGGCCAAGGCAAGAGGATTACGTAAGCCCAGGAGTTCAAAACCAGCCTGGGAAATTTGGTGAGATCTTATCTCTGTAATAAATCAAAAAATTATCTGGGTATGGTGGCATACGCCTGTAGTTCCAGCTACTTGGAAAGCTAAGGCAGAAGGATCACCTGAACCCAGCAGGTCGAGGCTGCGGTGGCCATGAGCGTGACACTTCACTCTAGCCTGGGTCACAGAGTGAGACTCCTACTCAAAAGAAAAAAGAAAAAAAACTATAAATGAATAAATGAAGCTCTTTCATGAAGGGGATTCTCTCTTAAGCAGGATTTTTTGTTTTGTTTTGTTTTTAAGTCAGGGTCTCACTCTGTTGCCCAGGCTGGAGTGCAGTGGCATGATCATGGCTCACCATAGCCTTGACCTCCTGGCTTCAGGTGATCCTTCTGCCTCAGCCTCCCAAGAAGCTGGGACTACCTTGTGCCACCATGTCCGGCTAATTTTTTTTTTCTTTTTCTTTTGCAGAGATGAGGTCTGACTATGTTACCCAGGCTAGTCTTGAACTCATGGGCTCAAGCAATCCTCCTACCTCAGCCTCCCAAAGTGCTGAGCTTATAGGCATGAGCCACAACGCCCAGCCAGAAATTTCATATCCCCACACTGGAGGATATGGCCTGGGGATGGAAGCAGAGGCGTGGATTTACCTTTGAATCAGATGAAGCAGGGAGGTCAGTTTTTAAGGAATTAGGGTCATCTTCTTCAGAAGGAGGCAGGAGAAAGGCCTGATGATGGGCTCCGGCTGGAGCAGATCCTAGAAAGGAGTGACTGTGGGTCAGAATGTGGCCTGGGGGGAGAAGGCGGGAGGGACTCCTGGGCTAGTCCCCATACCATACGGGTCTCCCATTCACTCCCCCAAACACTTGTTGCTGCCATTTCCTGACACCCTTCAAGGACCGGTCAGCACACTCCTCAAGTGTCCTCATTTAAGGTTTGTGACAACTCTACAACGCAGGTCCGATTTATCATACCATTTGACAGGCGGAGACACGGAGGCACTGAGGCAAAACCACTGCCCAGGACCATCCAGCCAGTAGGCGGCAGAACCAAGATTGAAATGGAAACTCGGCCAGGTGGGGTGGCTCACACCTGTAATCCCTGCACTTCGGGAGGTGGAGGCAAGAGGACTGCCTGAGTCCAAGGGTTCAAGACCAGCCTGGGCAACTTGGTGAGACCTCATCTCTACAATAAATCAAAAAATCAGCCAGGCATGGTGGTGCACACTTGTAGTTCCAGCTACTTGGAAGGCTGAGGCAGAAGGAGTGCCTGAGCCCAGCAGGCCCAGGCTGCGGTGGCCATGAGCATGCCACTGCACTCCAGCCTGGGTGACAGAGTGACTCTGACTCAAAAAAAAAGAAATGAAAACTTACCTGACTTCTAGCCCCTACACTATCCAACCTCCCACTCAAAGAGCAGTGAAGGACACACAAGTAAGCAGGCTACCGAGTCTGCCTTCCAGAAACCTCCACCACTGCAGGGATGGCAATAACCATCTTCCAAAGATACATCCCAAGGGACAGCGAGGGCAGGTAGGAGAGGCCACAGCAGGTTGGGAGACACAGGGATGTTTCACAGAACAAGCAGCATTCAACTTGGACTTGAAAGATGGAAGCGTTTTCAACATGTGGATATGAGGTGGAGGGATCAGGGCAGCGGAAGGGCCCAAGGCGGCAGTAAGTTAACTACCAAGCACATTAATCAGCAAGTATTTACATCATGCCAGACATTGTCCTAAATGTTTTACATGTGTTACTTCATCTAATCTTCACAACAGTCCTAGGAGATATGGCATCATTATACCATGACTAGTTCCTCTTTGCAGATGGTGAAAGGAGGCACAGATAGCCGGGCTCGGTGGCTCAGACTGTAATCCTGCGCCTTTGGGAGGCTGAGGTGAGTGGTTTGCCTGAGCCCATGGGTTCGAGACCCGCCTGGGCAGTGAGACCTCATCTCTATAATAAAATCAAAAAATCAGCCAGGCATGGTAGTGCATGCCTGTAATTCCGGCTACTTGGAAGGCTGAGGCGGAAGGATCGCCGGAGCCCAGCAAGCGAAGCTGCGGTGGCCGGGAGCGGCCACTGCACTCCAGTGTGGGCGACAGAGTGAGACTCCAACTCAAAAAAAAAAAAGAAAAGCAGTTTAGGGTCAGGTAAATGTCAGGTTAAAGAGGGTACAATTTCTTCACTAGACACTGCATGAAGATTAATCTCAAGACTCACTAGACAGTCTAGGGGCTACAGGCACAGGCTGGAGTGAGACAGGCCACAGTAGTTGGTCCACACAGGAGGAGGACTTGGCCAGAGGCCTCGATGCCATCATCTAGAAATACCCAGGGGGCTCCATGGCAGGGACGGCTTCTGAATAACTGGGAACCTGGCCTTGAGCCCAGGGTTGCTAAACATATCTACCTGATTCAGGTGTTTCTCTGATGTTCAATAACCAGAAAGGGGTGACTGATCTGGAACTTCTTTGTTGTTTTTTTTTTCGAGTTGGAGTCTCACTCTGTCGCCCAGACTGGAGTGCAGTGGCCGCTCCCAACCACCGCAGCCTCGACCTACTGGGCTCCGGCGATCCTTCTGCCTCAGCCTTCCAAG